AATTATTAGCATTCTGGCTTTGTTTCTCTAGAGAACCCTGTCTAACACATTTACCATTACTGTTTTTTATTAGATCCAGGGCAGGTAATACAAAGCACTACTATAGACTTCAAGGAAAAATTATACTACTAATTTAACCTTTGTTCTTTGACCCAGAAATTCCACTTTAAAGCATTATCTTAAAGAAATAACCAGCAATTCCAAAGAGCCAACTGTTGCATCCTTCTGATGGTAAAGAGGGAGGGAGGCTGAAAAAGGAAATAACCAGAACTAAACATTTAAATGTAAATAGAGCAATAAAAATACCTATTATTTTCTTTTATTATCCAGGTGCTACTTTCATGATCAATAGATGAATAGAGCTTTCCTTCCAAAAACAGCTGCCGGTTCAACACAATGGTGAGGTGATCTGGCAAAAACTGCACTTGAATGTCCTCCTTAGCAGTGTCTTCTGGAAGCCGAATTGTTACTGTCAGATCCTCTTCAGTCTGTTGCCAGTAATACAGCGGTTCTAGGAGGAGGGAAAGGTTCTTCATGCAGTAACAAACTAGACTGGGATACAGAAATCGAACAGAAGAGCACCTATCTAAAAGACTCTTACTTAGCCTGCTTCCTAATAACCAGCTTTTTAAAAAGGTTGAGGGGAAGAGTAATTTTACTGAAAAATAGACACAGATCTTGCTAGGAAATTTTCACTTAAAGGGCTGTATTTTCTTCTTTCAGTCATATGGAAAAACCCTGACAGTAACCCTTTATTCTCATTCCTTCTCTCCTCTCTGTCTCCCCACCACCCATCTCCACACAGTAGATTCTTAATTCATAGGAATACTAAATAAGCCAGAAGCCACTCTCTGGTAACAAAACGTTTACCACTGCTTGGATTTGCCAACACGACAGCAAGTAACTGGTACAAAGAAAGGATGTATTCGGTAGGCTAATCATACACACACACAAACACACACAAAGATGACTTTTTCTTGTCATATGTAGCCATTGCCTGTCCTACTCCACAACTCTGCTGCATGTAAGCAGAATCATAGGAAGGTCAAGGGCTGTCAGCATATTCACTCCAATACCTCTATAAAATAATCTCCCTTCATCTTTGTGTATATCTCCTTGGACTAAGAAAACAAGCTGCTAAGGAAACTTCTTTTGATTCATTATACTATAACTACGGCAATAAGGAAGTAAAGTATAAATACAAAATGAATAAATATTTGCTAAGCAGCATTTATAAACTAACTTTGATTTGTCTGAGTCCTAAATCAGGACCGAATATAAAACAATGGTTAATGACTGAAACTGCTGACTTGCTTAGTCCTGGGCCCAAATCCTGGCTCAACCATGTAAAAATTTTGGCAAGCACATTTCAGCTCTAAATCTCATTTTATAGATCATCATTTATGATTTATAGCATACAATAGAAAACATTGCTGACATTTATATAAGTAAATGCATTTAAATGATTTCCTATAAATCTTATGACTTAGTGTATATTATAAACTGTCATGAGTCAAAATTAACTCGATGGCAGTGAGTTATAAACTCAGTAAATGTGGCTTTGTTATTCTGAAAAATGAGGTTCATGCTGTATTACAGAAACATTTTAGGGGTTCTCCATACGCTCAATACAAAGTAATTATAATGTATCTTCCTGAATGATCACTTCTACTTGAAGTAAAAAGTAATTTACTTGATTGGATATCCCCGCACAGAAGGATTATAAGGAAGGGATGAGTCAACCAAGGTGTAGTATAGCAACAACGAATCACACATCATTCCTCTAGTTCCTGAATACATCCTCTGCCCCACTACCATGACCCAGTTCTACCTTACAAATCTGGCTAGACTGGAGAACACACATTGGTACAGATAAGAGCTCTTGACACACGGAATTCAGGGCAGATAACCCCTCAGGAACAGTCGTGGGAGCAGTGATATCATGAGGGTATGGGCATAGTCAGGGAGGGGGAAGGGTAAGAAAGGGGAACCCATCACAAGATTGGATATGTAGCTCCCCCCCACCAAAGGGGATGAATAACAGAAATGTGGGTGAAGGGAGACAACGGACAGTGTAAGATATGAAATAATAATAACAATATATAATTGACCAAGGATTCATGAGGGTGAGAAACTGGGGGAGGGATGGGAAAAAAGAAGAACTTATACCAAAGGACCAAGTAGAAATGTTTTGGAAATGATAAAAACATACGTACAAATATGCTCAATACAATTGATGTATGGAATGTTATAAGCTGTAAAAGCCCCCAATAAAATGACTTAAAAAACTACTTTAACAAACATTATATTTTAGAAATGAATTTACAAGGGGGTACTGCCCCCCCAAAAACTATAGTGTTTTTTTTAAAACTATGTTTTTTTAAAATTTTCTACAAAACAACCTTGTACTCTTCGTTGCATATAATACATTTTTCAAATCTGCAATTCCATTCTTAGAAACATTTTTCAAACTCATCTCTTTGGGTGGCTGACAGTACCTCCCCTCATTTTTTCTTCACCTATTCCACATTGTCAAACCACTGTCCTTTTATGTCCCTCTTTATTTCCAAAACAAAAAGTCATGCAGAGTGAGGTCAGGTGAGTAAGGTGAGGGGCAAGAGGCATGCTGTTTTTTGCCAAAAAATAGCGCACTAAGATGGCAGTATGAGCAGGTGCATTGTCGTGGTGGCAAAACTAGTCCTCTGTCTGGCACAATCAAGCTTCTTTGTTGTTGTAGACTGTTATGCAATCTTTTGAGGATCCCTAAAGAGAAAGCTTGATTTAACAGTCTGACCTGGTGGAATGAACTCCAAATGCACTACGAGTGGACATTTTTGCCCATTCGGGAAGTTCACTGACATCCAGAACGAGGTTTATCATCAACCGACATATCACCTTTTTTGAAAACCCCTCATGCACTTGAGTTTTTCCCATAGCGCTGTCCTTATAAGCCGTGTTCAACATCATACCAGTTTCTGTAGCATTCCCCAAGCAGGAAACAAAATTTCACAGCCGCAGACTATTCTTTTAAATCAGCCATCACAAAAATTGAGGTTTGAGAGAAACTTGCTTTTACGAAAATATTCACTGTGACACCTCTGAGTGCACTAACTCAGAGCACGGTGCTTAATGCTCGCCTGGTGGGAAAATGCCCACTACAAAAGCTCTGTTCTGTCCAGAGCAATTCCAGCTCTGGGGGTGTACCTTCTCATAAGATCTAGATGGACTTTTTTTTTTTTTTTATAGAGGAAATTTTATTTATGGACTTTGGCCACACTGAAAATTAAAAGCATGGATGGCCTCTTAAAGGCATCACAAACAAGATTACAATAGATTAAAACAATTTAAAAACGAGTGATTTTGTAAGAAGGAAAGTCATTTAATCTTCTGTT